TACCTACAAATGAACTCTAGATATTGTCTTGAAAAAAAAAATGCTATCGTAAAGTTGCAAATTATTCTTTTTGTATTAATAATATCAAAACAGCCATAATCTTGATAAAAAGAAGGGTAGCTTTTTGGTTTTTTTTTTTTTTTTTTAATAACGGGGGAACCCGCAGTCGCTATCCTTCGGATGCGCATTGGGTAAACCCTCGAATTGACGCAATAACCTGCAAATCACGCCAGTCAGGTAAACCACACTAGGGAAGTCCGGTACGACAGGTTTAATTGAGAAAGTGTTGGTAAGAGGAATCGAACTTATGATTAAAGGTCACCACACTCACCCACTCCACCAACTCGACCACCCCAAAAGGGGCTGTAGCTTTCATTTTCTCTAATTACTTTGGCCCTTCTTTATAAATTTTAAAATTTTTATTTTTATGCAACAATTAACAAATACATGTTGGTTCACTTTCTATAAGAATTAAAAATTAAATCTGGCTAGCTTCACTCGTACCTTTTTTTTTCACATTTTTACTCTCTTGCTACATTAGCCTTTTTTTCACTTGCGAATTTTTGTTTTTGTTTTTTTATTTTTGGAAAAAAATTAATTGGTTAGCTTAAAACTAATGTCCGTGACCATCAGGCAGAGGTAGTACATTCGTGCATTGAGCAAAGAATCATAGCATTGGAGCCTGAGAAGCTAGCCATGTAATGGGAAGCTACCACATAAATTAGTCTAAATAGATGATTGGTTCAAACTGGTAACAAATACGTATTGAGTACAGAACCTTGCTACATGTACACTATGGTGTACACTTTGTCACGTATCATTATTCTATTGGGTAGTTTAAATTTCAAACGATTTTTTCATCTAATTGACACTTGATAACAATGCAAGTGTCAATCAAAGTGTCAAAAATCAGTGTACAAATAGTATAGTTCATTGAATACAAGAGTCCAATAATTTGCCAACAGACTCTACGCTTCCCAAGATATTTAGGGAAAAGGGCCTTGGTTCCACTGCTTATTGACAACGAAATGCATAGTTAGTTCACGATCCTCACATTGGACTTAGTTGTAAAGATAATTCCTACTCCAAATCTCTGGGCTTACCCATGGTGACTAACTTCTTTAATAGAGCAATTTGGAGCTCCCATTTCTTAGGATTAGGTCTAGTTTCTACCATAATCAAAAATTAAATCTTCTTGTCTAGAGCTTCAATTTCCCTTTTTACAATTTTTTCTAATGTCAACTTTTCAATTTCATTTTTTTCTTTTTTCTGGCTTCATGGAAAACTTATATCCAAAGAAGTACAAGTTCAATATGACTTCTCTGGGTAGTCCGGGTTGGTTGCCCGCTCAAATTTTGACACTTCAGTAGAATGGCATATATCTATTGTTTAGAATAGAAAATAACAAGATGCGATACAAACACGGCATACCTTTAAAGTTACATTTACTATTTGTTATTTTGATATAACGAGAAGTCAAAATTTAAGTAGAGAGCAATCTCAACTCAACAAGTATAACTACAATAGAGCATCACATGAGAAATTCCGTTACCTCATTTTTTGCCAAAATTGTAGCATGGATCCCTAGACTTATTCACAACATATATAACAAGTTAATCTCCAACCTATTTGTTAGGTAACAAGTTGGTCATCGAGGCTTTTTTTTGTTTTTGTTTTTGGACATCTAAATCTTCAACCTTTCAAGCTTCTTGTACCTTACTCCAATATGGAGAATTTTGAAACGAGGTAAAAGAATATCATTTTTATATTAACTAAAATACGATTAAAATTTATTTATTTTTTCATTTTAAACAAAAGAATAAGTAGGAAAACAAGAATTATAACCCAAAAAAAAAAAAAAAGTACCTCAATCTTTCCCAACTCTCAACTAGTCCAGTTATACCCAACCTCCCTTAGCGCCCACCATCGTCATTGAATATTACTAATAGCGATTTTTCACACCAGTTTACGTGTCGACATATCCACATAGGTAGTAACAAATGATACAATCAAATAGATGTAAGGATATAGAGGTCATTTAATATGTCATATCATGTGTTCATAAGTAAACTGGTGTTCAATACTGCCGAAGTTAGACAATATTACTCATCATCACTCCCTCGTGCCTCAAATCCCTTGTCTTAGTATTTTCCGCTTTATACAATGAAATTTATGAGAATATTACTAGCATCACATACCAATCGACTAACATATTGTTATTGCATCATTTAACTTACATATTATGACAAACTGAATGTCAACCCTCCATTAAGAGAAAATATGCTACAAATTTGAAAGGGTGTATGGACAAAGAAATCAAGTGTCTTAAGAGGGACATTGACACATACAGCACCAATTGGATTTGGGGCTAAGAAATTATTGGAGCAATCCATTTCTTGTAAATGTCAGTTTAATTGACGCAAAGAGTTGCAATCAAATAGTGCTAATTTCATGAATTTCCCAAATCCTGACTGCATCTGCCTTTTTAAGCCCTTGTAGAGGATTGGTGGAGAACATATATACCAAATGTTTACACATTGTGCATATTTGATAAACAATATTATTTGTACTTCTAATATTTAAAAACGTCCACTAGTAATCAGTTTCGCCTGAAACTACATCTCTATGACTTCGTTTCACAAGAAATTTGCATAGCAAAATGATCAAAATTCAGGACGTTCTACAAAAAAATTGTTATATCTAATGAAGGTTTTCGTGCTTAGTTGGGAACTAGAGATCAGCCTCATGAAAACCTTATGTTCCTTTAGTTGATTCCAGTAAAGTTGAACAAAAATCCGTGTACCCAAAAAATAAAACCAAAATCATAATTCTAAAACCGTTAATTTAGATCCACACGATTTAAGATTCACTATTTTCAAAATCAAACCAAACCATTTGTAAAGAATTTAGTTTAGGGTTTGATAGTTAAGAATCGCTTAAAAGCAAACCCAAAAGGTTCACCCAATATTTTGAAAAGAAAAAAATATATATATACCCCTCTTTGAACCACATTATTTTCATAAGAATATATTTTGAAATAGTATATTGATGAAAAATGTGTATTTAAAAAATAAGAAAAAAGTTTTGAATTTGCATGTAAAATTATTTCATTGAAAATTGTGTGATTGAAAAGATGTCAAATCACTATATTTTTTTCCAAAGAATGTAGCTCAAATAGGACCATATATATCACTTTTTTTTTTTTTTTTTTTTTTAACATTGTCCACTGCTGTAAATCCTACCCTTTCTTCTCTAGAAGACAGTAGGTATGGTGAAGGCTATGTGCCATTATGGGATTGGTACTGCATTAAATAGTCTGCATCCCTCACTTTCATTTTAATGTTCCAATGTGAACAATCAGAGTTAAAATTCATGGCCCCACCATACGCCAGCCCAACCCCCATGCCTTCATATCAATACAATGTTACTTGCATCAGATTATAGCCTGTTCTTGCATTTCTCCTTCTTTGGAATATGAACAAGTAAAGGGCATTCCATTCGACATAATCTTCTTCAAACAATCCACAAAACTGGATGGTGGGCCATACTCGTCCCATTTGTGTAAAATGATAACTAAAGCTTTTGTTTTCATGTGCACAAGAAAAATGACACGTTGATGAAAACTCGTTACACAAATAACGAAGTATGGGGCATCTCATCTATTATACCGCGATGTACATTAATCTATAGTAATATACCACTTGCGTAAGAAATCAACACATCATATACCCCTTCGTGCTAGTATTATAATACCAATCACGCATTTGCCATAGTCAATTACAAACTAAAAGAGATACAAAAACTCCTCCATTGAACACCAAATCAGAGAACAATATTCTGTGATAAAGCAGATGGGAACCTCTAAAGATTTATTTCTGGTGACTAAACATCTCATAGACGGCATGAGTGTCGACACGAACCAAGTAACATATGCTATGCATGAAAACTTATCCAAGAATGACAGTTGAGTACAATCATCCGATATGATAGTGAAATAATAACAAAGATACAAGGACTATATAACCAAATAGATGGTAACAGGATTATGAGCCTTTGCCATTGAAACTATGTCCCGTTGGTCAATCTACCATTCCTCATCTCCTTAAAAGAGAAAAGGACATGAATTCAATTATTTTCCCATCCTTTACATTATATCTATACTACAAATCCTTTTGATAATCCAATGTTCCATGGCCTGTCTTGCACTTGTCCCTACCCACGGGCATATTATATAAGTGCCACAATGAATTGCCTCCAAAACAAATATACAATTATCTATGCAAGACCTACTATAAAGTTGTGCATTTCAAGCAAGTGGATGAAGAAAATGACTATTTGACAGAATTATAACTGGAGAAGTCGATAATCAACTGATATTATGTACCGTCTGCATGCTCTAGTGAACCCAGGTGGTGTAGCATATAATACCTAGCAGTCCTCGTCCCAATAGAATAAATGATTTTTGTTCCGTTAATCTCAAGTTGTAACTAAGAGATTCTACCTAGTTTATTGTCTCAAGAAGGTGTAGGATAGAATGTAATGGAAGAAGACAGCATTGCTTAGAATGAGGAACAACCTCTTCACATTGACAGCCCGGTTGACAATAATGATTATGGATTTATACATCACAGGGCTTCAAAAATGACTGTCACCATAAAAGGTTGAGAATATTATAACACAACCTGATTCATGCATATGGTGTTTAAGAACGGTGGAGTGGACCATCAATAAAGTCTAGTATTGCCAGATAGATTAATATAACAGCTATAGAAACAATATTTGGAGTCCCTATAGAAGAATCTTAATGAAATAACTCTCACACCTGAATGCTTGAAGTACATTAAGCAACCTGTTTTAAGGGCATTAACATAATGACAAGAGCCCAATGATTCAAACTTGAGGTCCATCACACACACCCCCCCCAACCAAAATTCCCATCCTCCACAGAGGACAAGCTATCAAGCAGCCTATGACAATGCCACTAATTACACCAGAAAACGTCAAATCAAAATGAAACCTCATTATGACTGTTCTAGCAATATGGGAAAGGTTTGTTTATATAATTTATAACAAAACTTGACATAAAAATAAAAGATAAAACTATAAATGAGATTCATGAGACAAATATATTCAGAATTTCTTAGTGATAGGCTGATAACAATTGGGACCAGAAATCAGTAACAGCAACTTGCTAATTTGCATCATATTACAAGGCAAAAGTAGGAGCTGAGGAAGCTTTGGGATCTGTTACAGCAGTAAGCATTATATATATTAGCAAACCTAAAATAATTCAAAATTAGAAATATGACAAAAGGAATTCACCTCATAATTCATGGCTTATCCAATCCTGAGAACACATGAAAGCTTGCAAAGTATCAGACTTCAATGAGCTCCAATGATGATTAAGTGTTCTATGTCCATTATCGAATAGAGACTCTAATGCCACTTTCGAAATTGGAATACCCAGTATATTGCGGACCATCATAGATAGGACAGGATACTTTGGTGCATGAACTTTCCACCAATTTAATATGTTGAAATCAACATCACGTGGAAACAGAGGTTCCTCCAAATACTTGTCCAGGTCCGAGTTTATATTTTGGCTAAATGAAGTTTCATCAAGGAATTTGTCATATCCAGCTAATCTATCCTTAACATCACTACCACCATTTTCAGAAGCTTGTTCATGAGATGCTAATGGTGAATAGATCGCATGCCCATTGTAAAGAGCTTTCACACAATTTGAAACAATATTTATGCAATCTGAAGCATTATCACCATAAATTTGAGGATAGTAGTACTCCACAAGTTTCATTTTGAATCGTGGATCTAAGATGGCTGCAATAGCCATGATTAAGCTGCACTTCTTCCAATATTCATCAAATTCAGATTTCAATTTCAACGCCAAAGAGCTAATGAAATCATCCGACCTCCGGCACCATACAATCAACTGCAAATGAATATCACAAATCTCCGAGAAATACATATTTGCAGTAGAATGCTTGCTTTCCACAAAGACATCAGAAACTTCATGAAAAAACTTCAAGATGCTAGTAATAGCTTGCACTCTGTCCCAATCCAGACTCAATGGGCACATTGAGTAGCTAGGGTCACGTTCTTGGAATAGGAGGAAGGCTTCTTTATACTCTAATGCAGCTTCAAGCATTATATATGTCGAGTTCCGTTGAAATGGATTATCAAGGGGTAAACATTCCTGAGCATTAATACCAGCGAGTTGAACCATCTCATTGAACTTTTCTTGTGTTTCTCGAGAACTTTTAACATACCGTATGCTTTCCCGAATTTTATGAGTTATCTCACTAGATGTTTCCAGTACATCTTGGACCAAAAACTTGACAGTGCTTGCTGCACAGCGTACATCAAATAATTGACCTTCACACATGAGAAACCTGTGCTGGCATAATTGGTCTCTGATTCTGCAGACAATCTTGTCATAGGAGGAATGGTTATCGATTGTCAATGAGAACAATTTCCGGTCAATATCCCAATCCCTAAGGCTATCCATGATTACTTCTGAAAGTGAGTCTTCAGCTTGAGAAGGATCAATCTTTAAAAAGTTCAAAATCTTCTTCTTTAATGCCCAAGAATCATCAATGTAGTACGCTATCAAACACAGGTATTGCATATCTCCATTAGCGACCCATCTATCAGCACTAAGGCTGACTTTTCCAGGCAACTTATCTAACTCCTCGTACACTTTCTGTTTCTCTTTTTTATAGATCTCCAGACAGTCAGCCTCAACTTTGTCAATAGTCACGAGGTCAAACAAGGGCTGAAGATTTCTAACAAACATCTTGAACCCAACATCTTCAACCATACTCAGAGGATACCCATGTAACATAATCATCCGTGCAAGATCCAGTTGACTACGCCGATGATCAAAACTGAAACTGCCCGTGTAAACTGTTCCATCTACATGCCCTTGTTCAAAATTAGTACTTGCAACAGTGACTATCTCATTTCTTTGATCTTGATTATAACCAACATTGGTCAGGCCAAGGGTGCTTTCCTTTTTCTTTCCCCTTGTTAGCAATTGACTTATATCATGGTTTGATCTTCTACGGCACCTGATCAAGTGATTTCTCAAATGTGATGTTCCACTGGTACTTGACCCACTAAGTACTCTTTTACAGTGTCGGCAGATGGCCACAAATGTATCACCTCTTTTAACTCTATCAAAATCGTTCCACACAACAGATTTTAATCTTCTAGAATGGACATTGACTACTTCTGATACTTCCATCTGCTTGCAAAGATAATTAACGAAAATTTCTTATACATACCCAAAACATAAGTTGACAAAAGAATAAAAATGCTAACCCTGAACTCATATAAGCACCATAACTTTTTGAAAAACATGACAATAAAGAACCATACAACTTGACATCAACCTAAGCACAATTGTTTGTATTGTGTCAAACTCTATTCCTTTAATACCCTCAAAAAGAAATGAAACAAGCCAAAGAAATAAAATTTCTCACTCTTTTACAAACACCAAAATTGTTTTGAACCTCTAGAAGCAAATTAAAACCCCGAGAAGCGAACAACAGGTTAACTATGCGCTTCAAAGAATATCTGATTACATAGGAAAGTAAAGAATGCAGTTTCGATCCGTCCTACTCAAACAAAAGCTTCAAAAAATATCATCTAAAAAATCATCACCCATATCCAAAAAGTTGCAAGATCATTCTAAACACCTAAGATACCAATTTTTTTACTAAACTACTATCCCAATACAATTTCCAACCAGCTTAACCTTAAAAA